TAGAATAGAATAGAATAGAATAGATGTTGTGGCCCACCAGCGGCCAGCAGAGCTGGCAGCAGATTCAGACAGTGGGGAGGTTGGGGTGGAACATGGGCCAGTCCTGGAGTCTGGGGAAGACTCTGATGAAGGCTCTGTGTCAGAGGCAGAGAGGGGGCCAGGGCCGTATGCCAGTTATCAGCTGCCTTCAGAGTCAGACATCAGTGAGGCAGATGAACAGCGGGAGCCTGTTCCCAATGTGCGCATGTGCAGAGTTGCCAGACGAAGGGAACAGCTAAAGAGCAGGGGTCGACTTGGGAGTAAGGCCACAGATGGACGATGAGTGGCCCCTCCCAGAGGAAATAAAAGAGGAGCGAAAGGGGAGTGGAGTTTGCAGGAGATAATTAGTTCACTTAATTGGTTCGTGACTGAGACTTCCTTGCCAAGTTTTGCAGATATCGGCCTGGCAGCTCTCCACGCTGAATAAGGTCTGTGGCTGTAATTTCTCCTTTGAGAGACTTTGCTAGATGTGAATGAGCAGAATTCACAGTAAATTAATGAAAGAGGTTTTTGTCGGAGTTGCTTCATGCTCTTGGGAAGTCTCGGTCAGAACAGGCTGACTGGTATGCTTTGGATTAGATTTATTCTCCCTTCATTACAGGCAGCACACTTTGTAAAATTCCCTTCACATATTTCGTACGCCCTTCCAGTTGAGGTCCACAGAACGTATTCCTCCATTTAGTGTAATGTAGGAGTTTGCTATTGGTCAGCACTACCTAAATCAGTGTTCTTCAGCTTCAGCGAATTTCAGATGTGTGGGCTTCAACTCCCAGAATTCAAATTAGAAGTTCCTGAGACTGAAACCATGGATGATGCCCAGCCATTAAATCAGTACAGCTCACTTACCACTGTCATGATTTATGATGGAAATTCCAAGTTGCATTATGATTGTACTTATAATGGATTAAAGTAGTTTATTCTGAGCATATAATGGTTTAGCAATGGATCATAACTTAATGGAGTTTTTTTTCCTACTGTACAGAAGAATATGAAGTTTCTGTTACATTTTTGCCAATCAACGGTTTAAAAACAGTTTGTCTTAATAAAATAAGTAGATGGACTTGTTCCAGGAATCCAGTTAATCTGCAATAATCGGATTATAAAAGTTGTTGCCATTTATAAAATATGAAATACATTTGCTTTATTTTAACAGAAGAATGTTTCACTCAATTAACTGTGAAATTCTGAATAATGTCCTGTGCAGGCTCTAGATAAATTTACATTTGGTGATTGACTGATCCAACTTTCTTAGCGCTGATAGCATCATTGCATTATTATGGTTCATCGCCCAGTCAGCCAGATTTTCATACTCAATTTGACATTTTTGTCTACCTATGGAGTTCTTCCCAAGGATCTGGAATAAGATGGATGTTTGTGGTGTTAAAGGTATCATTACAGGATGTAAGCTGTTCTAAGTAAAGCTGCCTTTTGCAATTGACGGATGATGATTTGCCAATGCCAGTAGTATTCAGATGGTGTTCCAGCTGCTTTGGGATTGCATCCAATAGTGCCTATTACTATTGGTATTACCTTTGCTTGCTCTTGCCATAGCCAGATATACTTGTTCTGACCTAGGCTTCCTTAAAAAGCATGAAGCAGAGTCTTGGTCCCGGCAAAACCTCTTTTATTTACACGACTGTGAATTCCTTTCATTCACAGTCAGCAAGGCTTGGCAAACAGTCTTCCAGAGGAATATTTATCAACACGAACCTTAGCTCGCTTGTAGAGCTGCTAGATAACTAGTTTCCAAACACAGGGCACAGACTTGGCACAGAGTCTCTTACAGTCATAAAGAGAACTTTCCACTCTTAAAACGACCGAATGAACAAATTGGTCCCTGCAAAAGCCCACTCCCCATTTGTTCCTATGGGAGGAGCCAATCACCTCCAAGGTATGACTTTGCTCCCAAGTCGACCCTGCTTTCTTAGTTATTCTTGTCTTCTGGCAGCTCTGCGCATGCGCACACTGGGAACAGACTCCAGCTGTTCCTCTGCCTCACTGCTGTTTAGCTCCCTCTCTGCCTCTGATGCAGAGCCCTCCTCTGAGCTCTCCTCAGCCCACCAGGACTGGCCCATGTTCCTCCCCAACCTCTTCACTATCCGACTCTGCTGCCAACTTCACTGGCCACCGGCCACTCAATTTCTGCAACACTTAACAGAATAATCATGTTTGCGGGGTTTGAAGGGGTTGGGTGCTTTCTCTTATATTCTGCTGTCTCCAGGTATTGCCACATCCACTATCCAGACTTTTTTGCCTTTCTTATTGACAGTTGTTTTGCCTGGGACGTAATGTGGCAGATGCCCGTCTGTTTGAATTCTAAAGTCCCAGAGGACTTTTTCATTTTCTATTACTTGCTCTATTTTATGGTCCCACCAGTTCTTGCTGATAGGCAAACCGTATTTCTTGCAGATCTTCTAATGCACTGTTGTTGCTACTCCACCATGCTGTTGCTTGTAGACAATACTACTATTTTTATTAGTAGTAACATGAATATACTAATTCAATTTCAGTTGTTAATCAGAAAGATTCCCTCCGTTTAAGGCAGGGCCCTGGGTTTATTGCAGTATTTTGCTGCAAATATACAGTGGGGGGAAAAATCTCAGAATCACAGAGATTGGTATCTAAGAATACATAAAGCATATTACACTGTAAAATGTTCAAGTTGCAATTATTCGCTTAGTGGTTTATAATATAGATAGGTACTTCCCTTTCTTGAATTTTTCTTTTTTTCTCTCCACTTTTCCTTTAGATTTTATCTTGGTGGCCCCACAAGTGTACGTGGATTCAGCATGTACAGTATTGGACCTCAAAGCGAAGGTATGCGTTTCTTTAACCCGTTACTTTGCATTCGTGTTAGAGATCAAGCAATTCTTGTTGAAAGGTTGCTTAACAATTGAGCAACTTACAGACTATAAACCCCCATCCTGGCTTGTTGGCATAAGGAATGGAAACCGGTTCCACCACAAAACCGCGGAGGACAAAATCGCGCTCGACGAAAGCGCGCATTTGACGTCATCACAGCGCGACGAAAACATCGCGCTGTGATCGAAAAATGTAAAAATAAAGCGAAAACCTTACCCTAACCCCCCCAAACCTAACCCTAAACCTAACCCTAAATCTAACCCTAAACCTAACCGTTAACGTAACGCTAAACCTAACGCTAACCCTTAACCTAACGCTAAACGTAACCCTAACGCTCTAAACCTAAACCTAACCCTAACCCTTAACCTAACCCTAACCCTAACCCTAAACCTAACCCTTTATGTGAATCGGCTTGCTTTAATTTTAATTTTATTTCAATGTTTAATTTTTTTCGTCGCGCTGTGATGACGTCAAATGCGCGCTTTCGTCGAGCGTGATTTTGTCCTCCGCGGTTTTGACGGGTCACGATGGAAACCACGCTCTGGAGTCTACCAGGATAGGGATATAGACAAACAGGATCTAATTGAAAGAAGATGGAAATGCTGTTGTGCTCCCCAAGAGCACAATCACAATTGGGGTTCCCTCCCAAGTTTTGCTTACAGAGCAAGTGGACACTGTGACTAAGGTGGCTTTTGCAGAGTTTTGGTTGGTGTGTCAGTTGCGAAATTACTTGGCAAGGAATGCACTGGACATTGTCACTTTCATCCTAGTTATGTCTGTATCAGAATATTGTAATTTACTTTAGATGGGAGATTTAATTTCTATCTAAATATATTCAACCTTATTTCATTCTTTGACAAAGTGATTAAATTAGCAGACCAGCGAAATGCTATGTACATAGTATACTTAGATTTCGGTAAGGCATTTGACAAAGTAGACCACAAACTACTTCTTGGTAAGCTAGAAAAATGTGGGATAGACAGCATCATCACCAGATGGATTTGTAACTGGCTGACAAAAAGTGCTCAGTACAGCTTCTGTTGCTGTTTGGGGTGTTTTTTTTTTTACAGCTTCCTATCTAGCAATTTAGTATATTCTCCATTGGCTATAATTGCGTTGCTGCTAAGATGTATCACTCTGCCTGAAATGTTTCACTGCATTTCTTGTGAGAGAAATATCTGCAGAGTAACTGTGAATTTTTCTTTCAGATGAAGAAGACTCTGCTTTGAAAAATGTCTCTTGGATTTGTAATCTGGCAAATATTTTTCTGCGATTTTAGGTGATTACCTTGGAGGAGAGGCTTACTGGGCTGGGGGTCTGCATCTCTACACCCCTCTTCCTTTTCGGCCAGGTCAAGGCGGTTTTGGAGATCTCTTTCGGACGCACTTCTTCCTCAATGCTGGCAACCTCTGCAACCTTAATTATGGTAAGGGCTAGACTACTGCAATGCGCTGTACCCGGGGCTGGCCTTGAAGAACGCTCAGAAGCTTCTGTGGTGCAAAATGCAGCAATGCGGGGAGCTACGTAGGCTCTGCAAAGCTGCGTTGGTTGTGCCAGTGTCTGCTGCTAGTCTTCCCACCTTCCTTTTTCTTCTCAGGGGAAGGACCAAGGGCTCACCTTCAAAAACTGGCCGAGTGCATCCGGTGGTCTTACGGGGCTGGCATAGTCCTGAGGCTCGGCAACATTGCACGACTAGAACTCAACTATTGCATCCCGATGGGAGTACAAAGTGGAGATAGGTACGTTGGTTGGTTTGTGTTCAGCAGCTGCAGCTCAGAACATAACCGCAAAGCCCCGTCATGCTTCAAGACAATAATCCCACTTCCAAGTAGAAAACACCTGGGTGCAAACATTTCTGGAATGGTCAAAACATCTGTTTACAACTTCAAAGAGCGTGTTTCTAATTCAAAATGTTTTGTATAGCTGGACCAGGGGTTGGCAACCTTAAACATTCAACAACCTTAAACATTCAAAGAGCCACAAAGGTCTTAACCAGAAGCCCCTCCATTAATTCTGGAGCCGACCGGAAGTCCTGCCCATTCACCACGGAGTCTCTTCCTAGCGTGGCATGCTTTTTCCTCTACCTGTTTTCTAACTGAAAGCCCTATCAATTGTGGAGCTGACTGGAAAACCCACCCCTTGCCATAGAGTCTCCTGGCGTGCCCTCCCCTTCCCCCTCAACCGGAAGCTCCTCTTAAAATTGTGGTGCCGACTGGCAATAGGGAGCCGCAGCAGAGGAATGAAAGAGCCACATGCGGCTCCAGAGCTGCAGGTTGCTAACCCCTGCCCTGGGCTAAAAGGAATTAGATTTTTGTTTGGTGTTGTTCTTTTCCATTTGGCCTAAAATCAGAATTGGGCCTCAAGAGGAGAAAGTGTGCTGTAGCAGAGAGAAATGCTCCTTAACTTGCCGCAGAAAGTATAGCACTGAACCTATCATTATCATGATTTGTTTAGATTACTAAGTCCGCAGGTTATATAGGAGATATATTGAATTGGTTCTTTTTTGGTGATTCTAAAAGAGCATCCCATCATTCTTAAAAGTAAAAGAATGAGCCGTTCAGGATCACAATCTGATGTGTTTTGCACATTCCAAACCATTTTCAGACACGAAGTTGCCTTCAGGAAACAATAATAATAAATGGACTCCTTTGATACATTAGAGAGATTGATAAAAGGAGTGTCTTACTCGCATAGTATTTGTTTCCAGAGATTAAGACATGTTTGTGTCCTGTTTATTGGAAGCACCCGCAGCCTTTAGATTTTTAGATTTAAAACATTTATTTTTATTTAGTTCTAGATGTTGGAAAGGTGAAAATTAATAGCCCTAGGAAATAGACATTGAATCACAAAATAAACCTACCGTATATACCCGATTGTATTAAAAATTGACTTCACGATTAAGCCCTTTTTGTTTTGTTTTGTTATTTTTCCTGGAGTTTTGAGCCGTCTTAGAAAAAAAAATTTTTTTTTGTTATTATTGGAAACTAGGTGATTAGCTGGTGTTGCCCCGGTATTTATTTATAGAGGGAACATATCCAGACCAAATGTAATTTCTGTTGGATTTTCCCCCTTACCAGAGGGAGCCCCCTTGTGGAGTACTGTGAAGTATTACCATAGCAACTCTAATGCGCTGTACAGTAGAAACCATTTTAAGGCACAACAGGCTGTATCATAACAGAACACACACCCTGAGGGATGTTAGGAGTGTCTTACCCGCATAATATTTGTTTCCAGAGAGTAAGTCATGTGCACCCGTTTAGAAACCCAGGGAAGGCGAACACCACAGGTTCTTTTTGCAGACTTTTTTTGGCCATATGGCTAGAAAATAGAATTTTTCTGTGGTCACAAATATGTCTGCTGTGAGTTGCCACCTAGCTTAAGAACCGTGGCTCTTTGGAGGGCATCTGTGTACCAAGTTTGGTTGAAATTGCTCAAGGCGTTCCAGAGTTATGCTGACGCACACACACATTTATATGTTTTGAATTTATTGGGGAAAAGAGGATATCATTCCTAACTCTTTTTTTCCTTTGCTTTTCCAGAATATGTGATGGAGTTCAGTTTGGAGCGGGAATAAGATTCCTGTAATATCGGTGGCCTTTGGCGGTGTTGGTCCAAAAAGAGTGGCTAAATTCAAGTGTCACGGTGTGATATGCCCAAATATATTTTTATTGAAGTATAATTATGTGTGAAGGATTAACTTCAATTAAAAACTGGAAAAAAAAACCATTTTATGTGTTTTATCTTTGATTTGGTCAAAGATAACGTGACATTTTCTCTGGCCTTCAGAACAAGGCTTTGATGCCGTCATCCCAGTCATGGACAATGAAATCTCAGCTTCCGGGGGGGGGGGGAACCTGAAGACTGTCTGGCAATGAGTCATCCAGCAGAGTAAAACGGTTTCCTCTTTGAAAACAGAGTGAAAGAAGAACAGAACAGAACAGAATAGAATAATAGACTAGCCTAGCCTAGCCTAGCCTAGCATTCTTTATTGGCCAAGTGTGATTGGACACACAAGGCATTTGTCTTTGGTGCAGATGCTCTCAGTGTATATAAAAAAGAGACAATGATAATATAATATAATATAATAAATATAATATAATAAATATAATATAATATAATAATTTATTGGCCAAGTGTGATTGGACACACAAGGCATTTGTCTTTGGTGCATATGCTCTCAGTGTACATAAAGAAGAATAAAATAGAATACATTTATCAAGAACCATAAGATACATTTAGTGATAGTCATAGGTTACTAATAAGCAATGAAATCATACTAGGAAACAAATAAAACAATATAAATTGTAAAGTTACAAGCAACATGGTTATAGTCATAAGTGGGAAGAGATAGGTACTAGGAAGGAAGAGAAGAATAGTAATACAGTCTTAGAAAATAATTTGACAGTGTTGAGGGAATTATTTGTTTAGCAGAGTGATGGCGTTCAGGGAAAAAAACTGTCCTTGTGTCTAGTTGTTCTGGTGTGCAGTGCCCTATAGCGTCGTTTTGAGGGTACCATGTTTCCCTGAAAATAAGACAGGGTCTTATTTTCTCTTGACCCCCGAAATAAGCACTTGGCCTTATTTTCAGGGAGGTCTTATTATTTTTGAGATGCAGGAGGCGGCGAGCGTGGTCACTTCATGGCTGCTGCTGTGCTGCAATATTTTCGTGGAAGTCTTATTTTCAGGCGAGGGCTTATTTTAGTGCATGTGCTCAAAAACCTCATTGGGCTTATTACCTGGGAGGTCTTATTTTCAGGGAAACAGAGTAGAAGTTGAAACAATTTATGTCCAGGATGCGAGGGGTCTGTAGATATTTTCACAGCCCTCTTTTTGACTCGTGCAATATGCAGGTCCTCAATGGAAGGCAGGTTGGTTTATTAGAGATGTCCTATGGGCACATCTTGGAAAACCCAAATCTGAAAGCTTCCAGGTTTTCTCCACCTAACCCTAACCCTAACCCTAACCCTTGTTTCTTCTGCAGTTCTAATTATCCATTGAAGTCTGTATCTGCCTTCTTTGGTTGCAGAGCGAAACCAGACAGTTACAGAGGTGCAGATGAGAGACTCAATCATTCCTCTGTAGAACAGAATCAGCAGCTCAAATCAAAGCAAAAAGACCAACCAGCTGCTGCTACTTCTTGATGAGTTTGCTAAGAGAAGATGCAGCAGCAAGTTGTGGGTTGGTCTTTCTTTTTGAATAAATGCATGTGAGGAGGAGGAGGATGGACACCCTGTGCACAGCATTAAAAAAAAGATTCCTTGGAGATCATTAAAAAAACCCAACCTAAATCAAGATGTCACCTTTCCCATCTAACGCAGGAGGGTCAAACTCACATCGTCATGGCGTCACATGATGTATTGGGACTTCTCACACACACCCTTCGCTAAACAGGGCGTGGGCGTGGCCAGTGCGTAACGCATCCAGCCAATGGGCCCGGAATTTGACGGCTCTGACTAACACATTTTATTACTTAAAAGCTTGAGAACAAAAAATGTCATTACCAGGCAAAGTTTGTCACGTGGCCTAAAAATACTTATTTATATAGCCTTATTTTGTCAGCCCTCTGAGGTAGACCAGATCAGGGACGTGACTCATAGAATGACTAGAACTAAACTTCATTGGGATTGGGGTCAGGTAGCAGAATTTAGCAAGTTTCTCTGTGTTTTCTCTTCCCTCCCCAGGAAATGCTGGGGGGGAGAAGCAGTCTGAGTAATGCTTCCTGGATTTAACACATGCTTCTTGTTTTTCTCCTAATGGCTTCTGGACAACTTCTTTCAGGTCATTTTCAAGGATCGCTTTGGATTTTCTGATCTTTACCAGAAAGGATCCCAAGCTAGATGCCAAAATGAGATGGAGTGAAATTTAGCTCCAGCCAGATAGTTTCTCCTTTGTGTTGAATACCTCCTCTAACATTAAGTGGATTTCCAAAAACATTTCTATTTTTAAAGACAAGTCTTTCCCCCCCCTCCGTAAATGGGTATGGCCGGTTAATTGGGCTGTTACATTACTTCCAGATTGTATATAGCCATGATGGGGAACCTATGGCATGCCGGAGGTGGCATGCAGAGCCCTTGTTGTGGGCACGCGCATAGTTGCCAGCTGCTCTTCTGGCTTTTGGCACGCACATGCGCGCTGGCCTGCTGGTCTTCGTGGGCGCCAAGAGCACCGGAAAAACTTCAGATGTTCTAGAGGTAGCCACATTTGCTGATGATCAGTTGATTAAGGACATTTGATTAGCAGGGTTCCACCACAAAACCGCGGTCGACTAAAGTGCGCTCGACAAAACCGTGTACCTGACGTCATCACAGCGCGATGAAAAAAGCACTCTGTGAGCGGTAAAGCTAAAATTAACGCGTAAACCTAAACCTAACCCCCCCGAAACCTAACCCTAAACCTAACCCTAACCCTTAACCTAACCCTAAACCTAACCCTAACCTTTATGTGAATCGGATTCCTTTAAAAGCGCTTTTAAA